GATGGGTCTCCCGGGGCCCAATTGATCATTAATCCGGGCTTGTGTGTTACTGTTTAAGGTAGGTAACTAACTATATATTAATGTCTTTTATTATTATCGATTTTTTTTTATTTGTATTTTTAATTAAGATGGCTATTATATGATTATTGTTGTATATATTTAAAAAAGAAATTGTATATTTTCTATTTTGCTATTCTGTACACCTTGTACATATACTATACTATAATATGCTGTATATAGGCTTTATAAATATCCGAAAATAGCATTAACCAACTACCAAGTAAAATTTTAAAAACTAAGAAAAAAATGCTTCTACAAAAAATGATACTCCCAAGCAAAGAATTTCGCTCTCCTTTATAGTACGGTACAGTATACAATTATTTCAAGATTAAAGCATATCAAATACCTGGTCAAAAAATAAAGAACAACGTTTTAAAAATATTTATATTATTTTAAATTATAAGACCAAATTGATAAGTATATTCTAAGCTTCATTAAGGGCCGTTCTTACGACGTCCGGTTAAAGTTAACCGACACTTAACCGGAAGAATTCTGCCGGTAATAAAATCTGTTATCAGTCGGTTAGCGTTAACCGACACTTTACCGGACATTGTAAGAACGGCCCTAAGAGTCTTGACAAATAATTTTGAAATATTAAATTATTTTCTCTTCAAACTCCTAATTAATGTGTTGAGTAAAAAACCACTGATAAGAATCGGAGTATCGGACTCGTATACTATACATCATCCAAGGCCTCCAAGATGAACAATGATAATTGATGATAATATGACGTCAATAAAAATGTATGTAATATATCTTATTAATTATAGGCAAATAATATACTTGCGTTTACCTAACTAGTAACTAACGTAAGTATAAATATATGTTATACCGTTTATCAAATCCAAGAATCAGTGTCCTTAATAGATAATACGACGTTCAGTAAAATGACTTCGAACAATATAATATAGACCAAGAGCGTGCATCGTTATACGGCCCATTGGCTTGCAGGCTGCAGCATAGGCGTGCGCAGACCTTGCTGGCAGGGGGGGCAGAATGTAATAATGTACCTATAGGTTTATTATATAATATATAGGTAAGTAAATATTATTTTGGTTATTAGTTCAATTAATGTAAGTGATGGAAGTATTTTCATTTTATGTATCATTAAAACTACAAATAACTACAAATTTAATATAGTAATTGAAACTCCAAAGTTTTTTTATATTATATTAATATACATGAACAAAGAAAATTATTACATTCATACAGTGGTGGATCCAGGGGGATGGAAAAGGGGGCATTTGCCCCCCCCCCAATAACCGTAGTTTTCCTTTGTTTTACACTGTGTTTAGCCAATTTTGGAACTTTCATATACTTTTGAGCCCCCCATGCCCCTCCCAAAATTAAGCCCTGGATCCGCCACTGCATTCATATATATTTTTATGCCCGATGTGTTGGTGAAATCTGAATTTACTAATTCTACTTACTATTTATTTACAATTACAAAAAAAGTAAGTAAGATAGGTAAATTATTATTTGCACCAACACGTTGAACATATAAATATCAACATTTAAAAAAAAATGTAAATCCTTAGTATGATTTTTCCAAAAATAGTACCACTATTATATCATGCATTAATGTATCAATAATATTCTATTCTTTGGTAATATTGAAATTTATACATTATTGTAGGCATGTAACCTATTATTTAAACTGTTTTATAAATTATACTTTATAGGTATTTAATAGTATTAGGTATATAATAAACAATTTGATTTGTAGGTTACAGTATAAATAGAAAATTAATTTCAATATAAAACACCACATTAAAAAAAAGATAGGTATATTCTGATTTAATCAACACGTTGAGCATAAAACTACTAAAATACTAAAAATTCCGAAAATTGCTTCGGAAGTAAAGAGCTATAATATTTGTTCGTATACTGCATACTAATTATTATAATTATTAATTACTAATTATTTAAAGAACCGACCTTCTTAGCGCTTCCGGTGAACGTTTTTCGCATTAAATGCCGTCAAATTACTACTCACTTTCATGTCTCATCACATCTCAATCTACATCATGCTATAATAAGATTATAAGCACTCGTTATCACCACGGTATCGCTTGTGGTTCGCCTAAAGTTGGACAACATAAAATCATCGTGCACTGTACATCGAGCACTCAATGTTTACATAATATTCATTATATAAAACTGTATTATAATATTTTTTTAAAAACTTTGTTATTTTGTAAGAAAACTTGAGCCCGCAGGAGGGGCAGCTGCCCACCCTGCCCCTCCCGTGCGCACGCCTATGGAATCAGCTACTATCTATTTTTCATAACCCGAAGTTATAAGGGTTGTCCAGAAAAAAATAAAAATGAAAATAATATTAATAACTAATAGCATTTGCATATTTTTTTTGCACAGTCACAAAAATAGCAGAGTGCGAAACAAATACGTTCCATGCTTCCACAAAGCTAGTTTTAAAAATCTATTGTGCATATAAATGCATATTTTGCAATTTTTTGGTTTTTAGGGCATATTTCTTTCATTTTATACTTTTAGATGCATATTTTAAATAATTTATCATTTTATCAATATTTTTAGTCGACGTTTTTATTTATTTATTTTTACAACCAAAATAACGTTGAATTTAAAATTATTTAAAATTTTGATCATTAAGTATATGATCTTTCACTTTCTCCGGAACCTATAAATACAAGGTAGGGGGATCGTAGTTAAAAGCCGCATGTTAGTATTGCGAACACCAATAAATATAAACCACCATAAAATAATTGAAGACGTTTTTTAAAATTAAATCAAGCACCCGGTACAGTGGGTAAGTTATTCAAGAGAACATGAAAATTTTAGAGAAAAATAAAAGTTAACAAATATTGGCTGAAATGTCAAGAATTTATTATCTGGCGAAGAAACTTCAATTATAGACAGAATACCTGAAATCTTGAGTCTTGGTGATTTAGAATATATTAAATATGGTCCTATAAATTCTGTTGATGTTGAACGTTTTTTTTTCAATGTTCAAAGTGCTGTTAGCTGACAATAGAAAAAGTTTTCAATTTGAAAATTTGAAAAACATCTTATTGTTCAATATAACTTCCAATGTAAAAATGTGTGTTAATCTTAAATATTTCAAACAAAAATATTTTGTCAATTGTTTTATAGTAGTTGAAGAAGTAGAAAGTTGAAAGTTTTGAAGAAGTATCCAGATGAGAAAACATCAAATAAACCAAATAATTTATTGTAACTTGTAAGTTGTTAAAGTTGTACCTAAATACAATTTATTCATTAAAATAATAGAGAAGTACCTACAGAAAACTTTTTGTTTTTCGTTAAAAAATATTCATTTTTAAATGCATATTTATAATGCATATATTTTATATTTGAGTGCAGATTTGGTGATTTTTAGAGCTACAAGTCCTCTGCCCTATTAATAATTAAATAATAACAGTGTATTATAATATATTGGTTGCTATTGGTTAATCGGGCATGTTGTTGATTTGTATTATTATTTTTTGTCTATATATATATTTAATTTATAAATGAATGTTTGTGTGTAGATTAGACCAAATACTATATACGAATTTACTAAACATGTTTCTGCACTTTTTCATGCAAACATTGAAAACCTTATTCTAAAAAAAAAATGTAATTTAAAAAAGGATCTTAAACTTATTATAAGCCATATTTGTAAAAGGTACTCACTAAGTATTTGTGATTATGTGAAGCCTGCAATTTTAAATTTTTGGATAAATTTTTAAATGTGAGTATTAATTGCTATGTGAAGAAATGCAATGATTCATTCAACCAATATAAATGTTCAAAAAATAAAAAGTTGAAAAAAGTAGTTCACGTTTGAGTACAATGTTTATTTAATTGAAAAATTATTATTATTAGATATTCAGTTTTAAGCACTTATGTTATAATTTCATATTTTGATTTGTGTTGTATAATTATTATGAAAAAAGTATAATATATGTTTTGAATTACATTTAATTAATACCTACTATAAAGCTTACATTTAACATTATATTGTTTATCGTATTTCCCAATAGGATTTATGATCTTATGGAGATTTTAAGTATGTGTAAATATGCAAATACTATATAATCTAAAATATAAATAATTTAATATTTCTAACTAAAAATTATAATCGTTGATTGGCATTAGAAAATAAACAATAAAATGAAATCGGTGTTCTAAATTAATTTGTATTTATAAACATTTCAAGGAGTAAAATAGGCAACTACTTTAACAATCTCGCGGGGCAATGATAAGAAATAATTCGCCAGTTTTTATAATATGCCAGTGTCCTGTATTATCGTATAATATAGTATTTGAAGATACCTATCTATGGTCGCAGCTCACGGCCGCCGGTGCACGAGCGTCTCACGCCAGCATGTCATTTTGGCATCCGGTGCGCGCGCATCGCGTCGGCCTCTGGCCTCTGGCATTGTTATCATATTATTTATTTCATGTTATACTTGGGGAGTACTACTTTTGTTCCACAAAACAATTTTCTTAACCCTGTGACCCACTTGGGGAGGTGTTGCACAGCAAGTCGGGGGATATTTTCGATTTGCGGAGCGGAACGACGGCGCCGAGGAGCGTAGCGACGAGTGCCGCTAGCACCGCATCACTGTACGATGTTTTTTTCAAATTGGTGGCTCGGTGCAACAAAAATGCAATTTACTCAACCCTGTGACCCACTTGGGGAGGTGTTGCAGTGATGCGGTGCTAGCGGCACTCGTCGCTACGCTCCTCGGCGCCGTCGCTCCGCTCCGCAAATCGAAAATATCCCCCGACTTGCTGTGCAACACCTCCCCAAGTGGGTCACAGGGTTAAGAAAATTGTTTTGTGGAAAATTGTTTTGTGGAACAAAAGTAGTACTCCCCAAGTATAACATGAAATAAATAATATGATAACAATGCCAGACGTGAGGCCGACGTGATGCGCGCGCACCGGATGCCAAAATGACATGCTGGCGTGAGACGCTCGTGCCGGTGCTGTCGGCGGCTCCGTCGAGTCCGGCAGTACCGCACCGGCATAGCAAAAAAACTGTGAACATCCCCGATTATTGTAAAAATTCCCGTTACGATACGACACTGACCTGCCCCACTTCGACAAACAGCTCCGTCGCCGGCTCGGCACCATCGCCGTCCGTCGTCGGGTCTCTACAGCGGAATTACTCTTTTTACAACCACCGCCTGGACCAGCTGTTCTTTTTTGTGTAATCGTCAACGTCTCGCTGCCCGGTCAAACCTCGTGGTCAGACCAGCTACTCCGTCCGGCGAAGCCAACGTTCCCGTTTTTAATACGCCAAGTCAACGACGCCATGATGGGCTAATACGCCACCGTGGGCTCGATGTTGGGCGAAGCGGTCCTGGACCAGTGACCGATGCAGATGGGCCGCGTCGATCGCGTGTGTGTCGACGGCCAGCCCTCTACAGTCTCATCGTTCCGTCGTCAACAAAAAGTGTAATGTACAAAATACCCCCCCCCCCCCCCCCCATGTCCCTCTTTTTGTTATATTATTCTTTTACTTTAATATGAGTGTTTGGTATGCGTTAGATCCTGTGCAGGGCATATTTCTTTTTTGTCGCTTCCCGTACTTATCGTCCTTCGCGATATGCCGGACGGTGATATCGTGGCCGCCAGACCTCGTGGGCCGATCTGTGGGTTCGCTCAGTCCAAAACATTATAATTTTCCTATAAATGTCATGTGCCAAATTATTATACAATCTTATGTAATTGCCCTGTGCCAAAATATACTTTTATAATTGCCATGTGGCAAACAGTTGTTAGGTGTTAAACACACCAATGCCATATTATTATCATTAGTATTATTATTTACAAATATTATTTATTGCACGTTGTGCGACCATGTAAAATACAATGATCCATAATTTATTACCCCAACCTTCTCTTTTTTATTTAATTTTATTAATATTGTGTTTTCTTCTCCACTTAAAAAAATCTGTGGAATTCACTTTCCCAGCGTGTAACAAAGCCTACAAGTTCCACTGACTTGGCCTTAGGGCCAACACGCGGTGCGGCTTGTAGGTCACGATGTCAGTGTTCCCCTGACATCGTGGGTGGATTATAAGGACTTGAAAAATCTTATATTCTCACATACTTTAAATTTTATTTTTATTCCCCCCCCATGTATACTTTTGTTATCCAGTAATTATTTTCAGAAATACTCCTGTCAGTGTGCGTGCTGGCTTGGAAGCGGCCACGGCAGTGGCGTTTCGATAGTGATGGTATGGGTGGACAGCTGCGGCGACAAGACAACAGGACACTACGAACGACCAGTCCCTCCCTTTGGTATGATTTTATATATTTCCCCTTGTAATTCCCCCCCCTATTACTTATTCTCTAGACCCGTATCTCCACCCTTGCATAACGATGTTAGATTCATTTTGTACTTTTGCTGCGATAACTTACAGTTTTTTCCCCAGACCACATTCTCAACTTAATATTATTATGTTAAAAATCTTCGGATTAATAATATTATTAGGTATATTTATTACTATGGTTAACTTAAATCTGCGGATTGATTATTATTATGTCTTATGTTATTATATGATAAATTTATAAACAATTATTTTTCTTGGTAGATGAAACACAAAAATATCATTATTCTTATTAAAATTACATCATGTTAAAATCTTGCAAAAGAGAATATCAAAGTATCATCAATGTCAATGTAAAAATCTATTTATTCAAAAATTAAATTCAATCAAATTAAATAACTCACATATTCACAACAATTAATAAAAAACTCTTACTCTTTGTAAATTATGACTTATTATTAAAATCAACAACCGATATTATTTCTCTTGCAAGAGGTCCACACAATTATTCTCTTTAAAAAATATTATGTTTCCCTTTAGTACAAAACTTATAATAATATTATATACTTATACTAATATACTATACACTACCTAGGTCATTATTATTATTTTTTCTTCAACTTAAAAGTAAATTGTTTATTATCATTAATTTGTTTACCTTTAATAGTAAACGTTTCTTTCCTCATTTGGGAGTATTTCATTGTATATTAGCTTCGTGTTCCCTTGACCAGTCTTATTGGCCTTTCTTGGGAGAAAACTTTTATTATATTCAAACTCTCACAAGTAATAAAACGGGTATTTGGTATCTTAATTTCATTTTATATTACATAGGTCAAATCGCATGATTCTATTGATAATAAAAAAAAAAACCAACTCATTAAATAATAATATACCGTCTACATATTATGTATATTGGATATTGTACTATTCATAATCAGTGCTATTGTTGGAACGGGTTTTGTCTCCTCGATAATTTTACTTAATATTTATTATTTATAATATAAAATTAGAAATAAATATCAGTAGACAAGTAGACTAATGCAATTTTATTATTACAGTACTATGTAGTACAATTTAATCAGCTGTACCTATTTGTGCAAATAAAACATTTTTATAGTTTACCATATTTCTAAACGTATATTTCTAGAGCGTTATAAGTAGAATTTCGCTACTTTAGGTTTATTTTAGTGACACTACATTAATCGCTATAATTAAAGTAGCATACTACTATAGCATCGCTACAGTTAGCCCGCTATTCCCGACCAATGTAATTATTCAAATCTAAAAGCTATGCAAAGCTCATAGGTACATGTAGACTTATCGCTGCTTGAGTTTTTATTTCTTGATACAAAAAAAAAAAAAAACTTAACTTTATACCTATTATGTTACTTATAACTAAAGACCGGATTTATATGTTTTTACATATCGTTACTGGGTCTATGCAGTCTTATGAGAGTAAAAAATGTGGACGATTCGTTCAATTCTGAATGCGTAGAAAAAAGTTTTTTTTGCATATTTGAGAATATTTCATGGGTTGGAGAATATTTAACCCATTTAGCATATTTTGGAATATTTCGTAAATTGTGAGCAAAAATTTGTATTTATTTTTATTAATTTTAATATTACGGTACTCTGAAAAAATTTTTTTGACCATTTACAATATATTTTTTTTTTCATTTTGATAAAAATAAAACACTCAGTATTATCAAGGTTTATCTATGTATCTTATCTACTGATAAGATCAACTTAAAGATCAACTTATAAGTTTATCAATTATTCAAATATCAAAATTTTGTTTTTGTGTTTTAATATTACCTATACTGTTATATTTATATTATATTTCAACTTCTTACTCTTGCTAAAGTGCAATACTATTCCATTAGGTATAATATGCAAGTATGCAACTCTTAATACCTAATTAATATCTCACTATAAAAAAATAGTCGAAAATAAAATTTTAAAAAATAAATGCATATTAAAGCATATAATGATGTTTTTTGATTATTTTTGCATATTTTTTAAATTTTTAAGAGAATATAATGAGAATATTTGAAGGTTTTTTAGAGAATATTAGCATCATATTTTGGGTATTTTAAGAGAATATAAATCCGGTCTTTACTTATAACTGTTATTAAATTAAAATTATTAACTTTTATTAAAATGTTTTTTAAATGTATTAGGTACCATACATACAAAGCTGAGTTTTTCTGCACATACTAAATACCGAAGAATAGGACGGACTACGTGTTGTCTTCACTCAAGCGGTTCTTTGTTATCTGGTAACAGGAGAACGGTTCAGGTTAAAGTACACTGTCGAGTTGGCTATATCAGTATTAAATATATATTTTTTCTCCGCGGTAGACACTATGCCTTTTGGGTTAGATTTTTGAAGATTTATCTTTGATTTGCTCTTCCTTTAAGGTTTGGCATTCCATTAAAAAAAAACACTTTGACATCATTTCAAATTTTCCTCTGAGTATTGTCAAAGCATATTATACTACAATTTTTCCAGTAATCATAAAGTTAGCTGTGACAATGGCAGGAACTTTGTTGATATCCATACAAATTTTAGACAGAATATTGAATGTTGCTGCTTTATAACAAAGTTCATGGATTCATAATCGTCTTTATCCCATATTAAACTCTCCCACTTGTTCTTGGATGTTTCTAATTTATGTTTAATAGATGTATGCAACTGAAAAACAATGAAATAGTTACATTGCTGTATGCTTAATATATTGTTTGCGAGTGCTGTCAAATATTGACTATACACAGCTATATTCTAAGTGACATTTGTCCCAGAGAAGTGGTTCAATATTATCTTCATACCAACATATAAGGCATATACTCAACAAGTAGTAGATGTCTTCAAATTAATTTTATTGAGCAATTTTCTGGTTTACTACGGGTGGACCATTTTGTAAAGCCCAACTTTCTCTTTATTGAACTCTTTTTCACCTGAATTTTTATTATTTGTATTTTTAGTGCCATGCCTAGAGCATCAAAAATACTTCCTACTCAATTATTTTATCATTAACAAATACTCAACAAGTACTACTCAAATGCACCTGCTTCAAGTCAACAAATAAAATTATTGCAAGTTTTTTCTTCAGTATGTATCCTTTTATGGATTTTTTCCTGATTATCAAAATCCATTCAAGGATACATATTGGATAAGGACCTTACTAATGTGATCTTTGTAATAAATATTTATAACAGAACGAAATATAAGGAATACATTTCTCTTTCTTTTAATTATATAGTATCTTTTTTATATTTGTATAATGTATAATTATATTTTGATGTTATAAAATAAGCTTAGTTCATTTACCTTAAGACTAATATTATAAATTGTATTATAATTCAATCTATGTAATATACTAACAATGTATTGTAACTATACACCTTAGGTACCAGCTGTAAAACAATTTTAGATTAGTTTATAAACTTAAATATCTATTTATTATGAATTATAGCTTAAGGACTTAATTATATCTCAATTATAAACAAATTAATCAAATATCAATATAATAGTGTTACTATAATCTATACCAGCGTTTCTTAAACTGTGTGAGTTCCACGAAACTTAAGTGTTCAAATTCACATTATTCTATGTATTTTACTGGTATTTTAGCATGCTAAGTCATAATAATAATATAACTATGTTTCATAGTTAAATTTTATTAGGTAAACAATATGAATTAGGTAAATACAGTTTGCTAGACAAAGTTTTTTAACTATAAATTACTTAAAATTAAAACAACGATAATATTTTGATATTTTATCAATTAATAACTATTAACAATTTTGTTTAATACATTAGGTACCTAATTATTAATATTTTTACCATAAATTGAAAATGTCACTTAACAATAAACACCTCCTACCCAATTATTTTATCAATAACAAATACTCAACAAGTACTACTCAAATGCACCCACTTCAAGTTAAGTTTTTTCTTCGGTATATGTACTTGAATGAGCTGTGCTATATTATCAAGACTCATTCAAAAACACATATTAGAGTAACGACCTTACTAATGTGATCTCTGTAATACATATTTATAACAGAAGGAAATATAAGGAATACATTTCTCTTTTTTTTAATTATATAGTATATTTTTTATATTTGTGTAATATATAATTATATAATATTATATTATAACTAAATATATGTAATCAACTAACAATGTATTGTAACTTTACACCTTCGGTACTTGCTGTAAAACAATTTTAGCTTAGTTTATAAACTTAAATATCTATTTATTACCAATTATAGCTTAAGGACTTAATTATATCTCAATTATATACAAATTAATCAAATATCAATATAATAGTGTTACTATAATCTTACTATAAATTATCTGTAAACTATAACTGCTATCTATAAACTGTGTGAGATCACTTTAAAAAAAGGTTAGTTCCATAAAACTTAAGTCTTTTTTTTTCAGTGAAGGATTTATATTTGTGAAGTCCTGTTTGTCTCTTATTTAAATAATTAATTTAATTAAATACAGTATATACATTATTATATGAAATTATTGTAGTTTTTAATGCAAATAATCCTTATATAAAATGTCACATTAAAACTATTGAGACAAAGTAGCTGGCAGGGTTGGACTAGGTCTTTAAAACCATCCGGTCTGAAAAATTTCACCGGCCCTACCTAAGTGGAATTATTTTACATTCATATTACAATAGAGAAAATGGGTCTGGAGGACACGAAAACTCCATTTTAGATTCTGAGTGGAGTGAGGAAGCTAGTGGTTTTGCAATGGTGATTATTTGTATTTGTATTTTATCTAAAAATCTACAAGAAATATTATCATATTTTTTTTATAGGCATAATATATTTGAAGTTCAAAGATCTATTTGGGGATAATATGTAAAAATATCCAGTAATTTTGAATATAATCGGTTAAAAATAACAAAAAACGGGAGTATATTATATCATGAATAAAAATACAAAATTCATTAAAATTACGAAATTATATAAATTATTTTGCTACTATAATGATAAAAATTTTAAGTTAAATAACAAATTTCTTTTTTGTACACTCACCGAAAGGACAACTTCTGGCTTTCGTAGGACTGTATCTAGATTCCTCCGGCTCAGCCAGTGGTTTTATTGCCACGTAATTGGATGGGTCACCGTTTTCTTGTCGTATATTTTTTTATATTTAATACAATTTTTATTTATTGCTTATTCATTAGTTAAAAGATTGGCAAGTGGATGTCGTTCTGCTGTACAGTAGGTTACAAGTGGGTCACTGTATAATTGACCGTATTAAATTTGAATTCAATGATATAATATCATTGTTTAAGAAAAACGATTTTGAGCCGAGACGGTATGTCAGGTTAGGTAGGTATAGGTAACCCAATTTTTTTTTATAAGCATTTAAAGATCGCATTTTGACAAAATTTATCAAAATCTCGAAAATTATCAATCATCGTAATTAATAAATTATAAAATGTTCAGTTTTTATAGATAAGTATTGAAAATTTAAAAAAAAAGATTCTCATAAATACTTCATACTGTAGCCAAAAAATCTAAAAAATATATGAACACAGTTATTTTTTACAGACATTTTAAATTCAAATTGGGACGAAATTACATATTAAAATCAATATTAACGATCTTGGTTTTTTGTTGTAATTTAAAAATATTATTCGGGGATATATGAAACTGAAAAATCAAAATATTATGGCCTATCCATACAATCTACAATAGTATAAGGAATAAGAAGTATGCTCAATAATAAGACTGTGCATATTTTAAGGAATTTATTCGTAAATTCCATATAATTTAATACCATAGGAAAGTATATAATATGTCTTATACCTAGACTGACATACCGTCTCCGCTCAGAATCGTTTTTCTTATACAATGATATTATATCGTTGAATTCAAATTTAATATCATCCATTATACAGTGACCCACTTGTAACCTACTGTACAGCAGAGTGACACCCACTTGCCGCCTTTTTTGTTTTTTTTTAAATTTTTTTTGTGTCTGTGTACCTACACGATAAGTAGTCGAAATAATGCTTCGATTTTCAACTTCAGTATCTTGTTCGATTGGAAAATGAATATCGTTGGTGCATTGAGGAAGTCAAAATTTAAAATTCCCAGTACTTTTCAAGAGCGCCAAGAAAAACAAAAGAAAAATTAAGGAAAAACGGGAATTTTTACGCAAAATCGATTTTTCAGAAAATTGAATTTGGTTTTTGGTGTAACTTTAAAACAAATGGCCGTAGATACATGAAATTTTCACTGGTTGTTTATATTTGCATTTTCTATACACGATAACATTTTCAAAATATTTTGATTTATTTTGAACTATTTAGGGACATTTTCATTTTTCATTTTTAGTTTTTTTTCTAGAAATATCAATAAAATTTTATTTGTTGGTTAAAAAAACTTGAAAATTTAATAGAAGGCTCCTAGTATAATATTGTTTCAAAGGTGTTGTGTTGGCGACACTGATTGTTCTGTAATAACTAAAAACGTGCCATCATTATAATAAAAAGTTCATTTAATTATAAATTATAAATCATTATATATAATAAAAGTTCTGACTCAGACATATTGTTTTGTGTTAAAATACTTGAGACACAAAAGTGGCGACGAAGATGGGATATTGAGAAGTGTAATTAATATCAAATTTACACGGATCAAAACGGAAAAAAAAAATGGCTAAAATTGGTAATATAGAAGAATTCAAATTACAGCAAGAAGAAGATTTCGAAACCTGGGTAGAACGACTAGAACTCTATATGCTGGTGAATAAAATAAAAGAAAATAAAGCAGCTATATTTTTAACCTTAATTGGAAGTGAAGGTTATAAAGTACTTAAATCTCTTTGTACTCCAGAACTACCTAAAGATGTCGAGTATGAAAAGCTAGTAAGTAATATGAAAGATTACTTACAACCGAAAGTTTCGATTCTTGCTGAACGTTCCAAATTCCGTAATTGTCTACAAGAAAACAATGAAACGATCACTGAATTTATGACAAAACTACAAAAATTATCCATATTGTGTGGTTTTGGAAATAACTTGGAGGAAGCATTACGTGATCAAATAGTTCATGGTGTAAGCGACCGTATGCTTAAAAAGAAACTATGTGAAGAACCGAATTTGACTTATGGAAGAACTAAAGAAATATGTCAAGCACACGAGGGCGCAGAGAAAAGTCTGGAGAATTTTCAACAGGCTACCAAAGGAGATCTCAACTTCATAAAAAAGAAGGCATCAAACAAATGGAAGGAGCCAAATTGGAAAAATGGGAAGAATGGTGACAATGCTGACGGCACATGTACATGTTGTGGTAATATGAATCATGTTTTTGGTAATTGTTATTTTAAAAATCGAAATTGTGAAATATGTAATAAGAAGGGACATTTAAAAAAGGTTTGTTATTTTAATAAAAATAAAACTGACAAGGTTCAATCTAAGTTTTCAGATGAAAAAAATAAAAATCATAATAAAAGTAACTTTGGTACAAGGAATAAAAAAGTTTTTAAAAACAAAATAAATAAATCAAATCATTTTTTGGAATCAGATAATTTAGACATAGACACATTATTTCAAATAGAAGTAGTGAATAAAAAAAATAATAACATAACAATTAAAGTTCAAATTGAAAATGAAATAATTGATATGCAATTAGATACAGGTTCAGCCATTTCAGCAATATCTTTATCAGATTATGAAAATAATTTTAATTATTTAACTATTGTTAAAACAAATTTGAATTTAAGAAGTTACTCGGGTGATAGTATTACACCAATTGGCTTAATTAATGTTAAAGTTAAATTTAATGAAAAAGATTATGACTTAAAATTATATATTGTTGAAAATGGTGGCCCACCTTTGTTAGGTAATGATTGGTTGAAGTATTTAGGTATTAAGGTTAATATTGATTTTGAAATGAATAATATTACAAGTCAGAATCACTCAAATCAAATTAAAGAATTAATAACTAAATTTCCTGAAGTTTTTACTGATAAACTAGGTACTTACAATAAAAATAAATGTAAATTGTATTTGAAAGAAAATTTTAAACCAATTTTCTTTAAACCAAGATCCTTGCCTTATAAAATTAAAGACCAAGTAGGAGCTGAACTTGATAGGTTAGTTAAAGAGGGTATATTAACACCAGTAGAAACATGTGATTTTGGAACTCCTATAGTACCAGTAATTAAAGCCAATGGATCTATTCGTATTTGTGGAGATTATAAAGTTACTATCAATCCTTACTTAAAAGTAGATAGGTATCCACTTCCACGGATAGAAGATTTATTTTCTAACATCAGTGGTAGTGTAATATGGTCAAAAATTGATTTATCTCAAGCATATACACAGTTATTAGTTGAAGAAAATTCTAAAGAAATTCTGACTTTATCAACTCATCAAGGGTTATATGTACCAAATAGATTAATGTATGGAATTGCTTCAGCGCCAGGGATTTTTCAGAGAGAGATGGAAAATTTATTTAGGAAAATAGACAATGTGGTTTGTTTTTTAGATGATATTTTAATTCATAGTGATAGTGTAGCTTCACATATAAATAAACTAAATGAAGTTTTTAACAAGTTGAAAGAATGTGGTTTAACAGTTAGAGAAGAAAAATGTGCATTTTTTCAAGATGAAATACAGTATTTAGGGTACAAAATAAATAAACATGGATTAAATACAAGTGAAACAAAAATTAAAGCAATTGTAGATGCACCAATTCCCACTAATATAACACAAGTTAAGTCTTTTTTAGGGATGGTAAATTATTATTTTAAATTTATTAAAAATAGCACTGAAATATTATATCCATTATACAATCTACTTAAAAAAGATAATGAATTTAATTGGAATAAGAAATGTGACAATGCTTTTAATGAAATAAAAAAAATTCTAACTTCAGCTCCAATATTAACACATTTCAATCAAAATTACAAAATTAAATTGTCATGCGATGCTAGTTCCTATGGTATTGGGGGTGTAATTTCACATATCTTACCAAACAATGAAGAAAGGCCGATCGCATATACTTCTAGAACATTGAATCTGGCCGAACAAAAATATTCTCAGATAGATAAGGAGGCATTAGCTATAGTTTTTTGTATTAAAAAATTCCACCAATATTTATATGGGAGACATTTCATTTTACTTACTGATCATAAACCTCTTACATATATTTTTCATGAAAAAAAAAGTTTACCTCAGGTGGCAGCTAATAGGATACAGAGATATGCCTTGTTCTTAGCGAATTATGATTATAGTATTCAGTATGTTAAATCTGAAAATAACCAAAGTGCTGATGCATTAAGTAGGTTAGCAATCACACATACAAATGATAGGGAAATGGATGTGTCAACAATTCATTTTGTTAATGATTATTTTCAAGGTATAAATAAAAATATGATACAAAAAGAAACTGAACAAGATGAGGTATTGAAAGTAATTAAAAAATATATTTTAACAGGATGGCCAAATGCTAAGGTTAAAATCATTCAAGAACCAATTAGATCATACTACTTACAAAAACATGAATTAACTGTTGAACAAAATTGTATTTTTCTAGGTCACAGATTAGTTGTACCAAAATGTTTACAGGAGATTTTCTTAAATGAATTGCACAGTACTCATTTTGGTGTTGTTAAGTTAAAAATGATGGTTAGAAATTATTTTTGGTGGCCACAACTAAACAAACATATTGATCAGTTAGTAGCTTCATGTAGTACCTGTATTAAATTCAGAAAAGAACCTACTAAGTCTTCATTACATGTATGGGAATATCCTAATGAACCGGGGGAAAGGATACATGCTGATTTCTTAGAACTTAATAAAAAAATGTTTATTGTGATAATAGATGAGTTTTCTAAATGGCCAGAAGTTATACCAATGACTTCAACTACTGCATTAAATACTATAAATGTTATGAGGGAATTTTTCTCTAGGTATGGTATTTGTCAAACTTTTGTGACTGATAATGGACCACAGTGGACTTCTAAAGAATTTCAAATATTTATTAAAAATAATTGTATCAAACACATTTTAACACCACCTTATCATCCACAAAGCAATGGGGCAGCGGAGAATATGGTAGGCATTTTTAAGGATAAAATGAAAAAAATATTAGATAATACTCCTAATATAACACAAGCATATTGTAAATTTTTATTAGATTATAGAAACACTATTCATTGTACCACAGGTAAAAGCCCAGCTGAATTGCACATGAATAGAAAATTAAATAGTAAATTTGATTTAATTATTAAACAGTTCAATAAGGAACCATACATAAATAATAATTTGGATGTAAAAACTAAGGTTGAACTAAGTCAGAATAAAACAAAAAAAATATTTGGCGGTAAAAGAAATGTAAATTTTAAGATAGGTGATACGGTGTTAGCAAGGAATTATAGCAAAGGACAGAAATGGATTACAGGAAAAATTAAAGAGAAAGTAGGAAAAGTAATTTTTATTGTGGACTCTGAATGTGGGCAAATTAAGAGACACATTGATCAACTTTTACTACACAAATTAAAAGAGAGAGATGTGAGTGAGGAAAAAGTTGATATTAATGATAGTATGGAAGTAAGGCGATCTAAAAGACATATTAATAAACCAAAAAAGTTTTTGTAATAATTAAAATTGATAAATTAATTATATATTTGTATTTGTTTTTTTTATGTATTATTATTATACCACATGTTATATAATATATAAAAAAAAAAAAAATGTATTAATTTTCTTTTCTAGTATGATTTGTATTATTATTATTTGTAATATTTTTTTTTTAAGAGTTTGTCATATTTATTATTATAAAAATTATATTATAAAATTAAGTAGGGAGAGATGTTGTGTTGGCGACACTGATTGTTCTGTTTATAACTAAAAAACGTGCCATCATTATAATAAAAAGTTCATTTAATTATAAATTATAAATCATTATATATAATAAAAGTTCTGACTCAGACATATTGTTTTGTGTTAAAATACTTGAGACACAAAAAAAGGCAGATGAAAAATATTAAAAATCGTTAGTCACAGACAGTCACAGTTTTTTTTATAAGCATTTAAAGTTCAAAAATAGACAAAATATGGAAGAATCACGAAAATAAGCAAATTATTTTGCGTAAGAATTCGTAAAAATTTTTCTTTTTAAATCTAAGGTTTTTGAAAATGAACTACAAGAATCCTTATAAGATTATATACCTTTATCAAAAAAAAAATGTCTATAAGAAAGTCGAATTAAATTTTTATGAGCATTTGAAATTCAAATTTTTACAACATTGGATATTCACTCGATTTCTCATGTAGCGATTTCCTTATTTTGTTATAATTCAAAAACGAATAACTGTAGAAACATGAAAATTTTATTGAATGTTTAAATTAGAATTTCCTATACACCATACAATTTTGAAAATATTTTGACTCTTTTTGAGCTGTTTACGGACATTTACAGCTTCTATATTTTTTAGTTTTTTTTTTCTATAAATATCAATAAAGTTTTATTTGTTGGGCTAAATATTGTAAAAATTTAATACAAGCCTCCTGATATATTGTTACAATATCAGTTGAAAAATATTAAAAATACATAGGCACAGTTTTTTTTATAGGCATTTAAAGATCGAATTTTGACAAAATTTATCAAAATCTTGAAAATGATCAATCATTGTGATTAATAAATTATAAAATGTTCAGTTTTTATAACTAAGGATTGAAAATTTAAAACAAGATTCCACGTAAGTAGTTAATTCTCTTACCGAAAAATCTAAAAAATATACAATCACAGTTTATTTTTATAGTAATTTTATGTTCAAATTTGGACGAAATTACCTATTAAAAACCTAGTTATTTTGTTGTGATTATGTAATATTATTCGTGGGTACCTACTTGAAACTTCTAAAGTGTACTATTATATATCTATGATAGTATCAGGGTTTGTTATTGATGTTGATGTATAACGTGTCATAAGTACCTAATGGATATTGTGATAATGTGATATGATTAATTTGGAATTTATTATAGGTCAATTTTTTACGAGCGCTTCCCCGCAGTAAGGCATTTGGCTGGCTTATCAAATAATAACGTTAACATAGAATTAAAAAATATATAAATATATGTAAAATTCAGAATTTTCTAATTTTGATACATAGAAATATATTATTTGTAATAGTTTGTATTGTATAATTTTTAGTTTCTTTAAGCCCCGTTCACACGATCAAATAATTTGTCAAATATTTGATGTATGTCAAACTTCAAATATTTTAGAAATGGTTCTAAAATATTTGGAGTTTGACGAATGTCAAATATTTGACAAATTATTTGATCGTGTGAACAGGGCTTTAGACCAGCGGTTCTCAAACTTTTTAAATTTGCGTACCATCAGCTACACCGTTTCCCAGTTACAAAAATTTCCGGAAACTCACTGTTCTCACAAGTTATGGCATATCAAAGTTGCAGCGATTACGCGTGTATCGGCACTCGTCGCTACGCTCCTCGGCGCCGTCGCTCCGCTCCGCAAATCGAAAATATCCCCCTATTTGCTGTGTGAACTACCTCAGGTAAACCTCGGTTTTCCTCAATATTGTTTCTAAGTATATTTATTCCCAGCGTGGTCACTCGCTCGTCCATTCAAAAGTACCTATATTTTTTAATATTGACAACTTTGAATTGCCATAACTTTTGAAGTTTCCGGAAATTTTTTCAAATACTTGAATTAAGCGTAAAAAACCAATTTTATTATAATTATTATTTTTGGATAGGATCAGAAAAAATTTAACTGTTGTCGCAGATTAACTCTATGATAACGTTATTATATTATGATAAGCCAGCCAAATGCCTTACTGCGGGGAAGCGCTCGTATTTTTTTTTAATACCATAGATATGTATATAATTTGTCTTAAACCTAGACTGACATACCGTCTTCGCTCAGAATCGTTTTTCTTATACAATGATATTGTATCATTGAATTCAAATTTAATAGCATCCATTTTATAGTGACCCACTTGTAACCTACTGTTGTACAGCAGAGCGACATCCACTTACCCACCTTTTTGAAATTAAAATCCTAAAACCATTCAAAATTAGATATAGTCACGGAACTGATTGGCTTGCGTGCGACGTTGTATAATATTAATATTGTGGAAACCTTAGTCCATGGTGGAAACGCACGTCGAGTGTTGATATAGGTGCTGATCATTAATCGCATGCGAGTAGGTACATTTTAGAAAGGTTTGTAGGTTAGGTTAAGACTGTTTAGTTGGTTAATGTGAAAATATTCGGGAAAACTCTGAACAGGAGCGTATGCTGCGATCGCGCCGAACGAGCATATTATTCGTTTACAACTGCAGCTGCCGTCGCCAACACTGGAAACCGACCGAGACACCGCAGCCGCGGAAACTGAACAACCAGTAGCAACTAGCACGTGCGACCCTGGTACCCGGTCACCCGGAGTCCGTTTTGGCGGAGTTAGTAGTAATAGACCTATTAACTATGGACAGCGCTTAGAGAGAGAAGTCAGGATACGATATAGTCGAGTGAGAAAAGAAATAAAGTAGTGTTAATAGGTCTATGGTTTATAGGTCTATAATGTGATTACTGCTTTATGTTCTTTCTCTCTTTTCTCTCTTCGTTCTTCCTTCTTTCTTTCTCTTATACGATTCCCGTGCATTGACGGCAGGGCGGAGTGGAATGCGCTGTCCATAGTTTATAGGTCCATGTAATAGACCGACGACGACGGGCCGAAATTTTTATTTTTATTTTAACACGACCTGATTGCCATGGACAACATCCGTATTTTAAAGGCCAGCTTCCCACCACGGCGTGTGGCTCGTGTTGGCTTATTGCACTTTTTTGGTATATTAAAATATATAATTTATTTTATTCCCTGAACTCATGTCGTAGTACCTCCGCTGGGAGGCCTCTACATTCGGGATAATCTGTCATTTATTTTTATTTTATTTTATTTTTTACTTTTATCAATTATTCTTATGGTTCATGTATTGAAACAGATTGAATAAAATATTTTAATTACAAAAAAAAAAAAATTTTATTCCCTACTTTCCCGTAAAATATTTTCTTGCGTAGGTACCTAATAATTTATGTAATAATATATTAGTAATGCCAGGGCCGGAGCGAGGGGGGGTTTAAGGGGTCGTCACGACCCCTCACTCATTTAACCTAATATTTCAGTCGGCACATTAACACATTGTCAAATACAACAAAAATATGTATAAAATATAAAAATACAAAAAAAAAAAAAATTAAAATAAACCAATTAATTCCTATGGCTAATGAACTTTGTCGTTTGGCATTAACATCACCAGTTACCACAGCTTCAAATGAACTATGTTTCAGCAAGCTAAAATTAATCAAAAACCATTTAAGAACTACTATGACCAGTTCCCGATTAAATGATTTGATTATACTTGATTCTGAGAAAGACATTTTAGATAATATTGAAATGACAAATATGATACAAATATGGCATCGTTAAAAGAAAGAAGAATTTCGGTGTAATATATAATTATTATATATATAATTTTTTTATAATTTTTGTATTTGGAATGCACATTCTGACAATCTTAAATGATATTTTGTAAAATGTAATATATTATAATACTTATTTGTTATAAAAAATAGTTATTGTTTTATGATGCTCATTTAAAATCAAAATAGATAGAGATACTAAAAAATCAGCTTCGATCAAAAACTCTAAGTAAAAACTAAAAAGGCAATATTGTTGGTAAATAGTGATTTAAATAATTGAAAAATGTCTCTAGGATTTTGTTTATTCTTTATCATATGATACAAAAACATTATTAGTTTTATTGTTTTATTTATAAACGGTTTGACGAATTTTTACTCTGGAACAATATCATAATTAATAGTGAATATTGAAAAATATGTATAAAAGCATGCATTTATCAAGATTTTATAATAAGTTTTTGCTCCAACATAGTATGGAATTGTCGAAACAAAAACTTGACATTTTGAGTGTCGCAAAATTTTTTTTTTAGTGTCTTATAATTATGCATGAATTTCAGTCGTCACTTTCGTTAACCACGACCCCTCACAAATATTAGCTAACGCCGGCCCTAAGTAATGCTTTAGATCGTAGAATCGTACGGCGTCCGCGTCCGTGGAGGTAGAACGAACAGAATTCCTTCTGTTGGGGAGTATGGGGACTATAAGGAAATCTGTAATTATATTATGTACCGATGGAACAAACAAAAGTACCTTCTCTTTACTGATTTAAAATCCAAGACCGTGATTACAGGAGTTGCGCTTATCACTAGTCGGTTGACTTTTGTTTACGTCGTAATTTAGGTTATTGAGAAATTGTTATTTTTTTGGCCGTGCGTGTTTTTCCGGCTAAATAATAAATCGGCGCTTTTCAGACATTCATTTTTAATAATACAAATAATATCTCATCAAATTCGTGACCGTGAAATCAAAAAGTTAAGTTTTTCTTGGTTTCATCCATGTGCTTTGTACAGTACTCGGCGAGATTGCAGTAGACATTATTATGTATGTATTTTAAGCATAATATACCTTTAAAAAATACGACACGCAATGGCAATGCCTAACCACCCAACTGTTCTATAGATGACTGCCACGAGAAAACTTACACCTCA